AATTATTTTTGGTGACAAATATTATTTTGGCACATATTTAAGGAAAATGCTTTGAAAATGTAAAAAATGAATAAATCAATAATACACTCTGGGCAAATTGACTACCCTTTCATTATGTTCGGGGCTGTTTTTGCCCCATTGACTTCCATTATAATCACATTTTTAGTAGGCATGACACCATTTAATCATTAATCATAAAATAATTATTGATTGTTGGTGGTTTTCTACAGAGACCCGAAAGGGACAGGATGGTAGAGAAAAAAAAATGGGTGGGAGAAAAAAAAAAACTGAGTGATGGGTAAACATATTTTTGAAAGTTTTTGCATTCCCCCGCAAAGATGTTTTGCGTTACCTTGCAAAACTTGTTTGAAAAACACTTCACTTTATACATGACAACCCTGTCTTTTGCTGGGATATTAAATTGTCTGAATTCACTTTCTTTCCATTAAAGCTGAGCGTCGATCAGCACCCCTCATATGCAACCTCTGACTCAGTGAATGCGGAGCAAGTACACATGCGGGAATTTTATCTGTACTTGGCAAGATGTGTACTTTGAATTGGAATCAATGACTGTAAAAAATATGGATGACGCGACAGCCCCTTTTCCCATTGAACGTTTTGAGGGCAAAACGCCTGCTTGACGGGCACAAACGGGTCGCAAAAGACTGCTGAAATTGGAGCCTTGACATGCACAGAAGGACTGTCTGATGGAGCCAGAGGAGGAGCCGCGAAAATGAGCGCAGTCGAGCTTCCAACCAAAAGCTTTATGTAAAATCAACCACGCCCCCCGAACTTCTCAGCATGCGTTTGCTGTCTTATCAACACAAATGGATGTAATAACGTTAACAAATATGAGGGTTTTATATATTCAATCGCGCCAGCTTCGGTCCGCAGCGCATAACCTACTCGCGGCGTCGCGGGCTGATTCTGGCTCGCATGCGGCAGCGCCGGCTCGCTCGGCCGCCGCATCTGGCTAGATTGACTCGTGCTGGATTCGGGCAGTGAGTCCAGGCATCCGGAGTAGGTCCAGCAGAGGTAGTCAGTCTGAGCTCTAAGGGGTAAGTCTTTGGCTGGAATCTAGCAGGAACTGGCCCTACTGTATTTTGCTATCTGGGTGGCTAGGCGTACGTGTATCAGCAAACTAATAAAGCCCGAATAAAGCCCTGACCTTAGCGAATAAACAGTGTTCCACCAGGATCATGTATGTCAGAAACTGTAGTTTACTACTGAACTCATTTTGTCATGGTAAAATAACACAGAAATCTAATAATAACACTTCAGTCTCCTGCCGAAGCTCAGACGCGCTGCTTTGAGAAACTGTCAATCACAGCTGTCAATCACGATGACACGCCCAGCATTACATTACTGCTAAAAACAAACTGCTTACAAAAATGAAAATCTGCACCTATTTCAGGACAATAACCAGAGCCTTAATCCACCAGAACCATCTTTCGGGACAGTTTATTGCAAGTGTAATTAATTTTTTTATTTGGGCTCAAGTCTCCTTCATTAACACGGAGGAGGCGGGCTTTATGACTTGTACTGCAGCCATCCCCCAGGGGGCGATCTAACGGCCGAGACCTTCACTCAAACGCAGGCTTGCGGCACACTTGATTGGAATAGTGCGACAGTTGATGACGTTTCACGAGAACACAAGAACGCAAGTACAGACAAGAACGCATATTGAGAAACAGCCTGTGTGTCAGCATAGTGGAAGATTCGAAAACAGGACTAACTTTCTAAGCTAATGAAGAAGAGACGGTCACTAATGGGCGGGGCTTTGCCAATCAAAGTGTTTCTGCAGGCTGTTTTTATCAAGTGTGATTATAAAAAGTTGACTAACATATTTTCACCATGATTATATTCACAGACTGCTGCCCAAAATTGTGTTTAAACCCCTTATAAAATTGATTTTGGTACAATAGGTTGCTTTTAAAAGCACAGATCAACATAAAAGTTCTTAATTTGAGGCTGTACATTGTGAGGAGAAGTTAAAAAAACACACTTGTTTGTCGTACATTAATAGCATAAATAAACCACCCACATAACTTCACACATATGCTTGCTAAAAGCGTCTGGATTTTCACCAAACTCTGTTGGCAAACTTTCCGAGATATGCAAGCCCACCGAGGGGCTCGCTGTACAAACAGCGTCGGATGACTGGCATAACTGTGATGAACTCCAATCAAGAGGCATTAAATAATAAAAATGTCCTCATTTGTAAGTCGTGTCCTCATTTGTAAGTCGCTTTGGATAAAAGCGTCTGCTAAATGACTAAATGTAAAATGTAAATGTAAAGAGCCAATGTGTTGTCCTGAACAATGGCACAGGGCCCGGAGCCCTTCAAGTCTAATTTTAAACAGCGCATTTTAATATGATTTTTGGCTAGCCGAGGCTAAGTTTCTGCGAGGTAATCAATCTTTTCTGCTGTAATCAGGCAAAAAAAAGCTGAGGACTTAATGAATTATAGATTATTATGTCTTCTAAGAGTCATCAGTTATAAAAAGTATGACCTAATGGACTTAATAATATACTTAATTTCACTATAGACATAATAAGGCCGTTGTTTACATACGATCAATGATAAAAGATGGAGTTGTAAAATGCATGTGGCTAGATTATTTGATCATCTTGAGATTTAAACATCCCCAGAAAGTGAATGGTGCAATGATGGTGGAATCCAACCATCCATCTATCCATCTACTATATCTATTCATCCATCCATTTATCCATCCATCTGCTGTATCCATCCATCCATCTGTTCATCTACTATATCTATTCATCCATTTATCCATCCATCTACTGTATCCATCCATCCATCTGTCCATCTACTATATCTATCTATCCATCTGTCCATTTATCCATTCATCTACTGTCCATCCATCCATCCATTCATGCATCTACTGTAGCCATCCATCTATCCATCTACTATATCTATCCATCCATCCATCCACTGTATCCATCCATCTATCCAACCATTATATCCATTCATCCATCCATTTACCCATCCATATACTGTATCATCCATGGATCGATCCATCAATCCATCCATCCATCCATCCATCCATCCATCCATCCATCCATCCATCTACCTACTATATCTAACCCTCCATCATCCATTTATCCATCCATCCACTGTATCAATCCATCTATCCATCCATCCATTTATCCATCCATCTACTGCATCATCCATCATCCATCCATCTACTGTATCCATCCATCCATCCATCTACTATATCTATCTATCCATCCATCCATTTATTCATACATCCATCAATCTAATGTATCAATCCATCTACTTTCTATCCATCCATCTTCTGTATCCACCCATCCATCCCTCTACTGTATCTATCTATCTATCTATCTATCTATCTATCTATCTATCTATCTATCTATCTATCTATCTATCTATCTATCTATCTATCTATCTATCTATCTATCTATCTATCTATCTATCTATCTATCTATCTATCTATCTATCCATCCATCCATCCATTTATCCATCTACTGTATCTATACATCCATCCATTCATTCATCCATCCATCTACTATCTATCCATCCATCTTCTGTATCCACCCATCCATCCCTCTACTGTATCTATCTATCTATCTATCTATCTATCTATCTATCTATCTATCTATCTATCTATCTATCTATCTATCTATCTATCTATCTATCTATCTGTCTGTCTGTCTGTCTGTCTGTCTGTCTGTCTGTCTGTCTGTCTGTCTGTCTGTCTGTCTGTCTATCTATCTATCTATCTATCTATCTATCTACCTATCTATCCATCCATCCATCCATTTATCCATCTACTGTATCTATACATCCATCCATTCATTCATCCATCCATCTACTATCTATCCATCCATCTTCTGTATCCACCCATCAATCCCTCTACTGTATCTATCTATCTATCTATCTATCTATCTATCTATCTATCTATCTATCTATCTATCTATCTATCTATCTATCTATCTATCTATCTATCTATCCGTCCATCCGTCTGTCCATCCATCCATCCATCCATCCATCCATCCATCCATCCATCCATCCATCCATCCATCCATTTATCCATCTACTGTGTCTATACATCCATCCATTTATTTATCCATCCATCAAATGTATCCATTCATTCATCCATCCATCTACTATATCCATCCATCTATTTATCCATCCATCTACTGTATCATATCTTTTGATCCATCTACTGTATCATTCATTCATTCGTCTACTACACCTATCCATCCATCCATTTATTAATCCATCCATCCATCCATCTAATGTATCCATCCATCCAACTACTATTATCTGTCCATCCATCCATTTATCCATCCATCCACTGTATCTATCCAGCTTAGGTATGGGCTGATATAAGACTCTGACATGACTACTCAAATTCTGATCATGATAAAAAATAGAAATGAAATCAAACATTTGAAATTTGAGGCCCAACAAGGCATACCTAAGTTTTAACAACTTCCTGTTTTGTGGCGAAAAAAAAGTTTGTGAGGCAGCCACCGACTACTTCTTCAACAAAAACTCTAGATCTTCACAATTTAACATCACCAAGGGCTTTAGATGACAATGCCCACATTTTGGTGTTGATCTGATAAAAATCCCTAGGAGGAGTTTCTTAAAGTACGACGCCTGGAAATGGAGCCATTTTGCCACACCCACTTCCGAAACCTATAACAAACGTAAATTTTCACCACTACTCCTGTGTGTGCTGTCGCCACTGCCTCGCATGGTTCAGGATTGGTAGAACTATGCATCGATGAATTTGCTCTTGAGTGTTTGAACTCTCAGTAATGATTAAATCACACTGAACTGAGCTAAACTGAACTGAACTGAACTTAAACACTAAAACCTGAACCACACTGTTCCAGTTACTGTGACCATTTATGTGAAGCTGCTTTGACACAATCTACATTGTAAAAGCGCTATACAAATAAAGCTGAATTGAATTGAATTGAATTGAAAGTTTTGTGATTTTTCAAGGCTCAAAAATGTGATTTATTCAACAGAAGAAGAAGAAGGAAGAAGAAACTGAGCAATTCCAATAGGACCTACACACCACTGATGCTTGCTCCCTAACTAGTGATCAGTGTAACTCTTGTTAAATAATTTTAAGACACAAAAACTATAGTCTATCCTTACCATATCCATAAATGACAACAAATGATCACAGTTTTAATAATACAATAGCCAATCTTTCAGCTTTTTCGAGAAACCACTTTGTGTTGTTGTGGTTGTCGTTGTTATTCTGGTATTATGATTATTACACTGTCTATTTCTGTCATCTGTTCCTCTAAACCCAAAAGATAATTGATGATTGAGCTGTATTATCTCTATTATTATTTTTCTTTAAAACAAAATCCCTTGATTTAAGTTTTTCTGTTCAGATATAAGTGCGAGATTCACCTCTGACTGGGATGTTGGTCTTCTTCAGGATCTGCTCCATGCGCACAGCCATGTCGGACACGTTCTGGGCGATGGCCTGAATTCGCTCCACCAAACCCACCGGCTGGAATCTGAAAGAGTCAAGGGAAATGAGGGGTTAAGCTCTACAGAGCGGAGAGCTTGTCAAGAATAACATAGTCAATGTTGTCGTTTGAATTGTAAAGGTCTATGGTGGGCCAAGAACCCAATATATTGGACCATTTGAAAGCTTAGAATCTTTGCACAAATGAATAGTCGTGTGATATTCTGCAATATCAGAACTCATACAGCCTCCTTACCTTTCTGTATTACTCCGCCCACATAGATAGACAGCAGATCAATAGACTGATTACAGTTTGACAAATAGTGCAACTGTTGGACAACATCATATACTTTTGAGGCTTTTTAAGGCAAGAATATATTTGTTTAGATAGCAACTATGCAGTTTATTTGTAAGGATAGTGCTTATTTTTAATATTTGTAACTTCAGAGATTCAGCATGTTGGCGGCCATCAGCCTGTCATTGAGCAGAGCAAAGAGGCTTGACGTTTTCCATCCACAAGATGACGACAGAGGGCGCATAATGAGTGTTTTCAATCGAATGAACTTCCTGTTTTCATTACTGCAGACTAGTTCAATAAAAAAGAAAGACAGAAGAAACGTCCACGTGTTTAGCATTTTTTTCCTTATCGCAAACACAACAGTAATCTTCTAGTGTTTGATTTGCTTTGGCTTTTTTGGGGTTAATTGTTGTGATCTCCCAACTGCAACAGAGAAATACTGGGAAATCTCTGTAGACTGATAGCATTTCATGCTGTTCAGCCCTTATAATCTAAAAAGTGTGAGCAAAAGCTCCTGTTTTGACATCACTTTAGACATTACGCTAGAGAATCATTCAAATACTGGCTCTAATGAGACGTTGGTGAATTATCAGCTGCAAATGTGAATAATTGGTGGATGAAAGTAGTTCCCTATACAAAAGCAAAACAATCTGCCAATGGGGTGGGCAAAATAATCTTGTTTTTCGATTTGTGATAAGATTATTTTGCCCACCCCATTGGCAGATTATTTTGCTTGATTTAAGGAAAAACTCACTTCAGTTTGGCACATTACTACTTAAAACAAGACAAAGGGCTCTATTTTGACGGTCCATGCGCAGAGCGCAAAACGCAGGGCGCAAACGCTTTCAGGGCGTGTCAGAAAGCATTTTTGCTAATTTAAGGACGGGAAAATCCGCTTTGCGACAAGGCGCATGGTCTAAAAGGGTTGAGTTTATTTTCTTAATGAGTTATAGGTGTGTTTTGAGAATAAACCAATCAGAATCTCATCTCCCATTCCCTTTAAGAGCCAGCTGCGTCACGCCAAGAGCGCATTCGCTATTTACAGGACGTAAAGTAAGTCTAAGTGGAAAAACTGAACATTTCACAAGCAAACAGTTAACAGAAAACTGTTAAACAGAGCATCTACTACGTGAGAATGAGAGATAATGGATCTACTTTCACTTTCGCTCTTGGATAGGGAAACCTTTACGCAAAGACATCAATTAGTCTATAATTAATTAATTGCGTTTGTTAAGCACAAATATACGTTTCAAAACTATTTCTAAATTCAGTTCTAATTTCCAGCAAACGAATAAATGAACAATAATAACAAAATGTGCTCAAAAACCTGAGTTATATCCTAAAACACATGCTGTGCCCCATATGGTCTAAAACCTGACAGGTGGACAAATCTAAGCTTGTTTTTAATAGAACAAATATAAATATGGATATAATAAATAATACTGCTAATAATAATAACAATATACAAAAGCAAATTGTTATGAATGAACTGAAAAAGCCTCCCGAGATGAAGAAGACATAAAAGCAGTGATTTTCATATTTATGTTGGCTAAAAAATAATATGTTTTGTAATATTTTAATCCTTTATATTTATATCCTATATCTATTCTTAATGTATCCTATATATATATATCCTTAATGTTTACATTTTTTCATATGTAAAGATATTTGCCTATTGCTCTGTTGTGTGTATTAAGCAGTGTGTAAGCAAGGTGCAACTCTGCGCCGGAGTTTAGACCGGGTTAGTTTTGGTCTAATGAAAAATCTATTATAGTTTCTCAAAATAGCAATGCACCAGCGGTCCGCCTCAGAACGGCTTTCTTTTTAGACCAGAACGCCTATGGATGCACATATGAGCGCTAATGCATTTGCTATTTAAACAGCGTAGCGCAACGCCTTGCGCCACATCGCGCCGGGTATATGATAGGGCCCTATATGCTTTGCTTGTCTAGAAAATGCTTCTTGATATGAGAACTTTTATATATTTGGACTAGAAACAAGACAAAAAAATTTAAGTACGAAAAGCATTTTTTGCAGTGTAAAGGTTTTCTATCAAATTACACCAAATTGTTGCATGTTGATATATGAAAATTTTCAATTTAGATAACCAAACCATGCTGAAACACCATAAACAGCTGTTAAATAAACAGTTCAGCCAAGAAAATTATGCTAAAATACTTTTACTACTCAAGAAAATGCGATTTCATGTAATCACAATCAACTTTGTTGTATGAAAAGCACAAGCTCAGATGGATCCACTGAAGAAACTGAGTTCAGAGAGAAAATATGACTTGCGATATTCATCCTCCAACACTAGACCATTAATATGGATATTAACAATAATTAGCTGTGTGTTTTGAAACTGAATTGAAAATGCTGCAACCTTGAGAAGAGACAAAAGTCTAAAGCCGTATCCTGGAGTCTTCGCCGAAGCAGACATTTATTGTGCGACATCCTTAACCGCTGAATTACTCATTGGACATGCTAATTGTCTGAAATAAGCTCGGAGCATGAAATAGCAGACACCATACACATAGATAATCAAAATGACACGCGGCATGTTTAGGTCTGGCCCTCGGAGGAAAAACACGTTACAGCAATTAAGTCAGGAGCAACTTTATTCCCTCATGGGTAAAAGCGTAGAAATGATCTGAGAGATTGAAAAGAAAACAAAGGTTAATCTGAAAGGGATTTTTAGAAATTAATCTTTTAATTTTCAAAGCTGGGGTTTAGTTTACAGAGCACATTTAAGCATTTACTAGTCTGCAGTCTAGTAACGGTTAAAAGTAAGGCTGAAATGAGGCAAGTATCAATAACAAATAATAGGGTCACACTTTATTTTGATGGTCCGTTTGCTGAACTTAAATTTCATTGCATTTCCATGCCGGCTAATTCTCACTAGATTATAAGTAGACTGTTAGGTTAGGGTTAGTGTAAGTTGACATGCACATGCAAAGTTTTCTATAGTCTGGTAATGTCTGTTTAGCAGCAGTATCAACAGATATTAAGCAGACAGTCTACTAATACTCAAATGGACCGTCAAAATAAGGTGGTACCACCAATAATAGGAATGTCCTGACTATTTACTCATCTCAGAGTTTTCAAACACTTGTATTTTTCTGCTGAACACAAAACAAGATGTTTTGTTTTAAGGAATGTTTGAAACAGATAGCAATTGATATCCATATTATGAGTTGGGAGGGGGGGTGGCTTTAAATAGGTGAAAACAAAAGCACACATGCACTGTAAAAAAATAAAACCCTAATTTTACACAAAATATTTTTTACAGTAATTTTTTGTCATTTAAAATTTTATGTAGAACTTAGTAAAATGACAAACAATCTCTCTAAATTCACAGTTTGACTTTCATTTTAGGTACTTTATCATTAAAGACAAATTACTGATATTTTTGTTTTTATACAGGGAAATTACAGTATTATTTATACAGTATTTTTTTCTGTTATTTTAAATTATATTCAAAAATCCGTAAAAATTACAAACAATAATACAGCTTGACTTTTATTTTATGTACTATATAAGTAATGAAAAAAAAATACAGCAATTTGTCTGTTTTATACAATAAAATTGCCGTATTATTTACACAGTGTTTTTTCCTGTTTTTTTTTTTTTGTTTTTTTTTAGGTACATTTAAAATTATGTAAAATTAAAGTAATAAATTGTAATTACTTGCTCTGTAAAAAAAAATAAAAATCATTGGCTGCCAAACAAAAACCATAAAATTTTGGATGAAATGTCTTTGTTGAAATAAATTGCAAAAAATAATAAATCTACAGATATTCTCATTAAAATGTTTACAGAAAAACACTGTTATTTTACAGCCTTTTTTTAGATTATTGAGTCTTGATGAGCTCTGGGAGTCCTGCAGGAACGCTTTCTTTGCCATTCCAGATGACTTTGATAAGTGATTGGAGTCATTGCAGAGATATATGAACGCATTCCTCCAAGCTCATGATGGAGTCAGACACAATATTAATTCTTTATTCACTGCAGCATGACTTTATATTCTATACTGGACATTATTTCTGTTCAGTGACAAGACTTCAGTCTAAGCAAAGTCAGACCTTACTGTCATAATGAAATAGATAAAAATCAATGCATGATCATGTGTTATTTTGGTAAAATAAGCGTAATCTACAGCCCTACGCCTTTCACATAAGACACTTCTGATACCAAATGATCAACTAGAAGTCAAGTTATTACCCTAGTAGCAAAGAATTCTGGCCCAGATTTGGCATAAAGCTGGCACAGCAGGCATTCATCCGGCACTGGCATACAGCATGTGGGCAAAACATGGCGCGGGTTTGGCAGAGGTGGCACTGTCTTTAAGGCGGCACACAAGATTTGGGCCAGATGAAAAATGTAGTATTTGGCCTAGATTTAAAAATGTGATGAGTGGGCCATGTGAGTTTGGCCAGTCTTGACCCACATTTAAAATACACTAAAATCATTTTTGAGTAAAGAAAAAAAATTCTACCAATCAGGTCACTTTGAGAAAAAGCGTGCCCATAGTGTGCCTAAAGCGCATCACTCCATGGGTTTATCAATTTCATTGCAATCGTGACACACCAACCTATCTGGCCCAGTTCAGGCCCAGTTATGAGTTATTAACTTGGCTGAGACTTGGCCCAGATATGGTCCGTGTTTGGCCCTTGTCTGGAAGCCAGATTTGGTCCAGTCATGTACCGTAATTCACTGCGGTATGTGGGCCAAGCAAAACCTGATTGTGGGGG